CCAATTTAAATCATAAGACAGATTTGATTTCAGCTGTCTTTTGGTGGGTCATTTGAAGAGGTAAGTCTTTTTTTTTTTAAGATTTTATTTGTCAGAGAAGGAGAGCACACAAACAGGGGGAGTGGCAGCTGAAGATAGATGTTTAACTGACTGAGCCACCGGGTGTCCCATACCATGACATTCTTGACTGGGCTAATTCACAGGAGATTTATTAATTCAGTCAAAAAACATTTATTGTGTGCCTGCCATTTGCTAGGTACTCAGCTAGATGCTGGAAATACAAGTATAAATAAAAAAAAAAAAAATCTCTGGGGTGCCTGGGTGGCTTAGTTGGTTAAATGTCTGCCTTTGGCTCAGGTCATGGAATCAGGCTCCTTGCTCAGCGGGCAGTCTGCTTCTCCCTCTGCCTGCTGCTTCCCCTGCTTGTGCATGCGTGCGCTTTCTCTTTGGCAAATAAATAAATAAAATCTTTAAAAATAAATAAAGTAAAATCTCTTACTCATAGAATTTATATTCTTGTTGGGGAAGATAGATAAATATCTGGAACTAACCCTTTTTCCGTGTTAGGTAAAATTACATACTGTTTTTCAAGTATAGATCTTCTGGGGGACCTGAAAACAAGAGAGGATCCTTTAGGCCACTCTGGTTTCTTCAGTAATTCTTGGATCATGGGATAATAATTTGGGTGAAGGTAGTTGATATTTCCTAAAACTGGTGATGATTTTTGGTATTGCTCTTATATTTTGGACTAGGTTTAGTTGGTTTAAACTTTTCCTTACTTAACTTTACTTTTTGGGTATATAAGACATTTATATGGTACAGAAGTCAAAACTGGGATAAGCAAGTAGCAGGAAAGTCTTATTTTTATCTGTATTTCCTCTAGCTTGTTCTCACCCCTATAGGTAATCATTTTTTATGAGTTTCTGACTTAACCTTCCAGTGTTTCTTTTTAATTGCATCAAATCTTATGGGAAGGAGAGGAAGAGAAGAAGTGGGAGTCTAAAGGAAGGAAATAGAAAGAAAAAAAACAAAAAAACCCCCCCAAAACCAAACTTTGCTACACTTTTTCTTGGGGCACCTGGGTGGCTCAGTCTGTTAAGCAGCTCCCTTCGGCTCGGGTCATGATCCCAGGGTCCTGGGATTGAGCTCTGAATCGGGCTCCCTACTCAGCGGGGAGTCTGCTTCTCCCACTCCCTCTGCCTGCTGCTCTGCCTACTTGTACTATCTCTCTGTCAAATAAATAAATAAAATCTTAAAAAAAAATTAAAAGGAAGGAAATGAATGGTGGGAATGAAGAGTTTTATTAATAAAATCAGGCTTGTGAAATGCTTTATTGGCACTCTTTTTGTCCTGCTTACACAACTCCTAACTCTGAAAGAGACAACACCTAAAAAAAATAAACTTTATTTGGAATTATTTTATTTTATTTTATTATTTATTTTTTTTTTAGATTTTATTTATTTATTTGACAGACAGAGATCACAAGCAGGCAGAGAGGCAGGCAGAGAGAGAGGAGGAAGCAGGCTCCCTGCTGAGCAGAGAGCCCGATGCGGGACTCGATCCCAGGACTCCGAGATCACGACCTGAGCCGAAGGCAGCGGCTTAACCCACTGAGCCACCCAGGCGCCCCTGGAATAATTTTAAATTTACAGAAAAGTTTTAAAAATGTTCAGAGAATTCCCTTCATTCAGTTTCCCCTAATGTCATCATCTTACATTACCATTTTCCATGTGTCAAAACTAAAAAGTAACATTGACACATTATTATTAAACTCCATTTTATTACAGTTTAGCATTTTTAAAAATAAAAAGCAGCTGTATAATAAAATTGGAATGAATATTATTAAAGAGGAAGCCAAGACAAAAAGCACAAGAGGCTTCATGTGTACCTTTACTGCCTTTCACCAAGATTACATTAATAATTTACCTATAAAGAGTTGATTTCCTTTGTCCATTCTAGCAGCTGGGAGCATCTTGTATTTTATTTAATCATGGTGTAATGAGAATACTTACCATAATGCTTTTGAAATAAATAAAATAGGGGAAAAGGCAAAAAGTTGTACAACCCAAAGTCAGTGCTTTAAGTGTAGTTGGTTAATTTGTGGAGGAGGTTTTTGTTTTTTGTTTGTGTCTTTTTTGTTTGTTTTCTGTAAATCTTCTTATAAAATGCCCTGATGTGGTCAGTTTTGTTTTACTCATGTTAGTGGAAGGAGCATGGAAGCAATCGATAGTGATATATTGGTAACCACCCCCCCCGCCCCGGTAAATGTTTGTAGACTCCACTGCTGATTTTAGAATTGTAGAGCTTGGAGTCTGAAGGTGTCTTCGAGCTGGTTGTGCTAACTTCCTAGATAGTGGAAAGATCTCTTCAGTAATATCTATGCATCTGTGTAAATTACATCTCTGGCCAGGCCTTGCACATTGCTTCATAAGGCAGTCTCTTCCATTATTATTATATTTGTCATAAAATTATTCTCTTGTGTTGAAGGATAGATCATTGCTCACTCTGCCCTCTGTGGCAATAGGGGAGTGTAAAGACCAGCCTGTATCAATTGTGTGTGTGTGTGTGTGTGTGTGTGTGTGCGCATGTACAGGAGCTAGAAGTGTATGATACACATCCATATATAGGTGTAACCCCTTGCTTTCCTTCTTCTTTCTTTCCTTCCTTCTTTTGAGATATATTGCCCGTTTATTATTTATTATTTTCTATTGGGTTATAGAGGAATGTTGGGATAAAGAGATGCATAATGATAATGAGTAAAACCTCATGTCATGGGGTTGTTATGCGGATTAAATAACATCGTATGTTTAAGTGTTCAGTACAGAGCATGGTACATGGTAAGCATTTAAGAAGTGCTGACAGTAATAGTCTCTGTTATCAAGTCATTTCCTCCATTAATAGGGACAATAACTAATCAACTAATAAGACTAGTTTAAATGAGGTAAGTGCTATCGGAGTGATAGAAGCAAAATTCTTACTTGTTCAAATAAAGGAGCAACTAATCTCAGAAACAAAGGAAGGAGAAGTCTTCTCTCCTAAACTTTGTAGTAGAAATAGGATGTCCTTTAAGAGGATGGTATCCTAAAGTGCCTGGGTTAAGTGGCTGCCTTTGACTCAGGGCATGATCCCAGGGTCCTGGGATCGAATGCCACATAGGGCACCCTGCTCAGCGGGGCATCTGCTTCTCCCTCTCCCTTTGCCCCTCCCCTCTGCTTATGCTCTCTCAATCTCATTCTCTCTCTCAAAATAAATTAAAAAAATGTTAAAAAAATAGGGAAAATGCTATTCTTGATTGAGGAGCTAACATTAGTAAAAGCCTGGGGCTAGGAACATGCACCATCTTTTTCATGGAACCTTAAGCATTTGTGTGTGACTGGGTGTTGGATATGTAGACGGTCTAGTGAGAAGTAAACATAGGATGTGGAGAGGTCAGACTGTACAGGGCTTTGAAAGCAATAGGGCAAGTTTGTACTTTATTCTAGAGGCTTTGAGTAATACTTTCAGGTCTTTGAACAGAAGACCAGGATTGTAATTTACAGCAAAATAGATGTGCTTAGTCTTCCTGTTAATTTAAAATCTTGATTGAGAGGGCTAATGAAAAATATACAGGAGGAAGAGATAGTGGCTGTAATCCAAGGTATGAAATGGAAACCATTGGCAGATTGTATAAAAATGAGTCTTTTAGAATAAGCCCTAAGAACTTTTTATTTTTTGAAGATTTTATTTATTTATTTGAGAGAGAGAATGAGCAAGCATGAGGAGGGGGAGGGGCAGAGGGAAAGGGAGAGAGAGAAATGGGCTCCCTGCTCAGTGGAGGGCCCATGGAGAGCCCATGCAGGGCTCCATCCTAGGACCCTGAGATCATGACTTGAGCTGAAGGCAGGCGCTTAACCCACTGAGCCATCCAGGCGCCCCAGCCAGAGGAACTTTTCATAAATATATTTGGGCCTTTTCATATTTAGAGTATTAAACAAATTTATTGGACAATAACCTCTCAAAGAATCTTAATCTCTAGATTGGGAGAAAGGATTAGGTTGCTATGTGCATGGAAAGACAGAACTGTACTTTTCCAGCTGACTGCATATGTAATTGAAGATGGACTTACCGCAATAGGTTGGGCTGTCTTTCAGATTAAGGGAGAGCTTTAAGCGTATTTTAAAACTGAGCACTCAATTTCTATTTTTTAGTACAGAAATAATTATCTGACACAGGGAACTAGCCTTTGGGAATGAATCTGATGTGCCCAGACTTGAGCATTGCCAACATCTTCTCTTTTTGATATGCTTTTATTTGTCTATTTGTTACGTTGTATTTTTGTTGATTTCTAGCGTTGCTTATTTAGTGTTTGCCTTTTCAACAATTGGGACTCCAAATGATTGGTTCATCTTAGTTGGAGAAATTGTTGGGAAGGAGAGACTGATCAGGAAAGAGATTGTTTGGCTGCTGATCAGGTGAAAATTTAATTTAAGCTCATTACAGTTGGGTTACTGACTGGCTGGCTGGAGTGCCCAGTGAGTTATGTTTTGGCTTGGCATCTTTTCCTGGTTGTACAGATGATGTGGCTTCTAGAATGCACTAGCAACAGGGGGTGTATGTATGTAATAACTGCCTGTCTGTAGGTATGAGATGGATTTGCATGTCTACTAGTATTCTTCTGAAGGGAAGAAAGCAAATTACTACTTAGTTTGTATTCCAGGAAATACTAACGCTATTGTACAGTTACACAGTACTTATGTAAATAACATTTATGCTCTTTGACAATACTTTGTATCTGTTGTCATTTCATGCTCACAACAACCTTGTAAATGAGATTGGGCAGGTTTAATTCCTACTTGACAGTGGGGATGCTAAGGCATAAATAAGAGACTGGGCTAAGGTTACTGGCTCAACAGATCAGTAACTGGGGCAACTTCCTAGGTTTCATTTTCAGATTGTAACTTTCAGAAGATTTTACAGGAGGAAAAGCTGAATGTGTCCCTTTTTTTTGTTGTTGTTTTTAGCGACGTCTCAGACACCTTCGGAACATTGCTGCCCGGAACATTGTTCATAGAAATGGCCATCAGCTCCTTGATACCTACTTCACGCTTCACTTGTGTAATACTGAAAAGATATATAAAGGTAAGGGAATCTGTGGACTTTCCCACAGATTGTTACATCTCCTTTTTATTCTTTTGTAACACAAGTGAGTATCGGTGCCTCTCGATTTGCTGTTATTGCTTTTTGGAAAGCTAAACTGTCAATGCTATCTGAAAATATTTCATGAGCAGTTGTTACATATATCATATATAGAAGAAACATGGCTTTTGGATAGTTCTTAATTGCTAAATTTATCATTTATTTATGAATGTTAGCTATGAAGTTTTTGTTCCAGTAGGTATCATGAAAGTAGGTATATGAGTCCAGTATAAGTACTAATTTTATTTTCTTCAAAACATAATTTTAAAAAATATTGTGGTAAAATTGAAACCAGTTTATGTCTTCTCATATTTGCAATTCCTTATGTATTTGTGGGGTCATTTTTAGAAGAATGGCTTGGTTTCCTTGACTTCATCTGCGCATGTTATACTGTGGACTGCTGCATAAGTGGCAATTCTGAGAGTAGAACAAATAAATGTTTGATTCAAAATCACAAGCGTCTTTTGAATACATATTGGATGAAAGGTGCTTGGATATAATCAGTTGACCTGTGTTGGCTGGTACCAGGGAACAAACATGGTATATGGGAGGAATATTGAATTAGGATTGAAAATAGAGAGTAGGTCTAGCTGTGTGACGCTGGGCATTGATCATGGCTTTTTGAAACCTCACTTTGCCCATTTGTAAAGTGGAGATAATGATGCCTTATAAAGTTTTGGAGGAACAACTGAGATAAAGTTATAACACTGGGTAAAATGTGATTGAAGATATATTTATATAAACAAAAAGTGGTGTTATTTTAGAGGCTTATTTGAATTTTGTACTATGACAAAGATGAAAAATTCAAACGACATTTTACCTTTCTGGTTTTAATAACTTTTTTTTTTTTTAAGATTTTATTTATTTGAGAGAGGGAGAGAGAGCATGAATGGAGGGAGGGGTATAGGGAAAGGGATAAGCAGATCCGTGGGGAGCCCAACAACATATGGGGCTTGATCCCAGGACTCTGAGATCATGACCTGAGCTGAAGGCAGATGCTTAACCAACTGAGCCACCCAGGTACCCCTGGTTTTAATTACTTTTAAAGACATTATTAAAGCAGTAGTCATTTAATACCTTTTTTGTTTTTTAAATTTAATTTAATTTTTTAAATTTAAATTTAAATTTTTTAAATTTAAATTTAAATTTTTAAATTTTTAAATTTAATTTAAATTTTTTAAATTTAAAATTTTTAAATTTCAATATGCCCATTAAAAGATTCAGTCAGGAATTACATAGGGTAGAACCACCACCATAATGTAAATAGCATTAAAATAATTTTTAAGGATGAAAAAAAAGGACTCTAAATTTTGCATTTTCATATACTTTTATTCTTACTTTTCATTGTAACCATTGCATATTCTTGAAACACCATTAAATCTGAACGATTAATGCTAGCTGCTATAACAAATACTGCAGATCTAAGTGGCATAACATAATAAATTTCTTACACTAAGTCCAGTGCAGGTGTTCTTAACAGGCATTGTCTTGGCAGTTGTCCTCTAAGCGGTGACTCAGATATCCCAGCTCCTTCTGTTTTGGAATGCTGCTATCATCAATACATGACTTTTGAAATGGCAAGAGAGAAGGATTATTTGAGGGAGTTTTTTTTTTCTTTTCTTTCTTTTTTTTTTAATGGAAATGGCCTTCATGAATTTTATAACATTTCATTGGCCATAAATCAGTAGTGTCATCATTTTTAGATGGAAAGGGGACTGGGATATGTTGTCTTCCCATGTGTCCAGAAGGAAAATGAACAGTTTGGTCATTGTCTTCAGGTATAAGCATTTTTGCAGACCTTAATACATTTGGTCTGCTGCTTACTAATGGGTTTTATCATTAGCAATATATGACAGTGCCAGAGTGTTTTCTTTTTTTAGATTAATTAAAAAAATTATTTTTAATTTTTAAGTAATCTCTACACTGAGTGTGGGGCTTGAACCTACAACCCTGAGATCAAGAATCACATGCTCTACCGACTGAGCCTTTTAGGTGACCCATGCCAGGGTGTTAAAAAATTTTTTTTAAAGATTTATTTATCTCTCTTGTGGTGGGGGAGAGAGGGATAGAGTGTCAGAGAGAGGGAGAGAAGCAGACTCCCTGTTAGTGCAGAGCCCCATGGGGGGCTCATCCCATGACCCCGAGACCATGATCTAAACTGAAACTAAGAGTTGGATGCTTAACCAACTGAGTCACCCAGGCGCCCTGAGTGTTTTAAATTATTGATCGTTTTCTATATAATCAGTCCTTGATTATCTTCATAAAACTTTTTTTTTAAATTTTTTTTTTTTAAGATTTTATCTATTTGACAGACAGAGATCACAAGTAGGCAAAGAAGCAGGCAGAGAGAGGAGGAAGCAGGCTCCCCGCTGAGCAGAGAGCCCGATGCGGGGCTCGATCCCAGGACCCTGGGATCATGACCTGAGCCGAAGGTAGAGGCTTTAACCCACTGAGCCACCCAGGCACCCCTATCTTCATAAAACTTTTGTGTTCTTGCTCCAGCGTTATCTTTAATAATAATAATTAACATAGTACTTACCAGCACATTTTAGGTATTTGTTAACAGTCAAAGTAGTTAATAAGAAGAGTGTAGTCAGGGGCTGGTTGGTGACCATCTTATTAAAAGTTGTCTAAGAGATGTGGAAGCAAAGTGACCTTTTTGGTTTATTCTTTGTCTTCTTCTAGCTCAGACTACCCCTTGAGTTTAGAAGTTATCATAGACTGCTTCTTAAAGTTGCCACCATGAAATGATCATTTATACAGTGAGGGGGTAGCTGGCTGTCCACAAAGGAGTACAGTCTCTGCCAGTGGTGGTGAGTCTGTCGCTAACTGGCAAGCCCCTTGACTAGGACATTTAGTCCCTCTTGTGAGCTTTGGTGAATTTACCTCTAAAATGAGAGAACTGATGATTTTGGAGGCTTCCTCCTACTCCAAAATGTCATGGCTGAATGGAATCTATTTATCATTTTCTTTTGGGCCTGCATGTTGGGTTTTATAACTTTTAACTACCATAGGAGGAGCCGGGAAGTTGTTTCCTTAATAAGCCTAGTTAATCCACCTTATCTTGTTGGACCTGTGATGATAAACACAAATACTCACTTCATGATCTTTATGCGGCCCTTGGTGTAGGACGACCACGGTAGAGGGCAAGTTGGCTCTTCTTACAAACTCACCCGTACCAGACCACCTGTTTAGTGGCATCATTTCTCAGTTTCTTTTATTTATTTGAGAGAGAGAGAACATGAGTCGTGGGAAGTGAGAAAGGCAGAGAGAGAGAGAAGCAGACTCTGCTGAGCAGGGAGCCCAATACGGGGCTCGATCTCAGGACCTGGAGATCATGACCTGAGCCGAAGGCAGATGCTTAATCGACTGAGTCACCTAGACATCCCCATTTCTTAGTTTCAAAAGAAGTTTTTGTTTGTTTGTTTGTTTTTTTAAATTGGAAAAATATTTGAAATACTGATCTCTAAGTTTTTCTTTTATTTTGACTGAATTCGCAGCAGATCCTAAGAAGTTATGTGTGAGATTTTTTGACTTTTGACATCTTTCAGTGCTCTTAGGACACTGCCTTCTTGTTAGGTAGTTCAGATCAAAGTTATCACAACCCCAGAGAACAAAGCCTTGTGTTAATGGATGAAGAACTAGGGTTCTAATTGTGGTTTCCTCTTAAACTTGAAATTTTTATAAAATCATGTTTGTTCTTCAGTCATAGTTCTTTTTTCACCCATGAAATGTGAGTGCCCAGAATGCCAGCCAGTTATTTTGGATACATTAGAAGATGAACTCCGTATAATCCAGAAAATTGTGGGTTAGTTTTGTTCACTGCACTTGGAACAATGCTTGGCACATATTAAGCCCTCATATTTTTTTCCATTTAATTTTTTGAACAGCTAAGGCAGTCGTGGTTCAAAGTATATATAAAGGTTTCAAATCTTTTCACCTGTCTCATCTCCGTAGTTTTTTTTACCCCACCCTAATAACCACTGTTTCTACATTTTTTGTTTCTCTTTGCTGAATTCTTTATGCAAATACAAATAAAAATAGTACAAACTATATATATTTCTGTGCCTTGCATTTTTCACCTAAAATGTCTTAGATGTTTGTCTATAGAGAGCTTCTCTGATTTTTCAGAGCTTCCCTAATTTTTTTTTTCTGCACAGTTCTGCAATAAGTAGGTGTCCCATGATTTATTTAATTGGCTTCTCTTGGTAGGCATTTAAGTTGTCCTAGTCTTGCTCTGCACACAGGACTGCTTTGAATAACTTCATAAGTACATTATTTTGTATGAGTGCTAGTATAGCTGTGGGGTAAATTTCCAGGAAGTGGAAAGAGCAAAGGATGTGTACTTCTAGTTTTCATAGATATTGCAAAATTTTTTTTATTTGCATTCCCACTTACTAGGTATGAGTGCCTTTTCTCCCATAGGCACACCAACAGACTGTGCAATCAAACTTTTGAATTTTTGCCAATCTGATAGGTGAAAAATAGTTTTATAGTATAGTTTAAGTTTGTATTTCTTCTTTTATGAGTGGGGTTGAGGTACTAAAAAAGCATTTGTTAAATGAATGGAATGCTGCATAACAGCCAAAACATGCCACTGAAACCATGCTGTGCAATGTCTGATTGCTTTGTTTTTCTAGGTCTGACTTAGCATGGATAAAGAGGCATTTGTATCTAATGGGCCCTTTCATGTAGAAATAGGTCTTGAGTGGTATCTTTTTAAAAATTTACTGTCAAATAGTTTTGCTTAAAGTGAATTAATAAAAATTACTAGAACTGTGTTAATAAAAATTACAGTTTACAAAGTATTTTTAATTCACTATTTCATTTGAGCCTCACAATAACCCTGTTATTTTCCATTTGTCATTATCCTTTGAAAGGTAAGCTATGTGACCCAAAAGGTTGACTGACTTGTCCAGAGTGAATATCATAGGTGGAATGGGGACTGGAATTATTTTTTGACTCTAAATTCTCCCACATTCACTATTAAATTCTCCTATGTTCACTATTAAATCACTACTATATCATGCTGCTAATTTTATTGACAATATTTTAGATGTAACAGAATGGTGGACAGTATACGCCCATGTTTAGCATGTTAGAAATTACCTCAGACTCCATGATTTCTTGTAGGTCTTTTTTGTGGACCTCTTTCCATTTAAATTAGCAGGTTATAAAAATTTGGATCCTGTTGTGAATTCTTAGAACCTGTCTTTTTTTAAAACTTAATACGTAGTGGCTATCTTTCCATAAAATAAAATAATTATCCATATATATATATATATATATATATATATATATATATATATATTTTTTTTTAGGAAAGACAAACATAGAGTAATATAGATAGTATGTTTATCAAGAAATGCTTTAATCTAAAGATCTTGCCTGTAAGAGTTTTACGTTTAGGCCTACTGTTCATTTATCGCCTGACTCTTCCTTAGCTTTAGTTCTTAGTAGACTTTGACATGTTTCACTCTTTTTGAGTTTCATCTATACTATTACATACTTAATATATATTTTTAAGTTCATTATTTTAAAAAGTTTTTAGAGATTTATTCATTTGAGAGAGAGCGAAATGGTGCACGTGGTCACGTGCGTACACAAAGGGAGGAGCAAAGGGAAAGAATCCCAAGCAGACTCCCCGCTGAGCACAGAGCCCAACTTGGGCCCCCATCTCATGACCCTGAGATCATGACCTGAGCTGAAATCAGGAGCTGAGTGCTGAACTGAACCACCCATCATTACTTTTAAACTTACGTCTAAGTAAGATAACTCATTCATTTAAAAAGTATTTATTGTCTACTCCGTGCCAGGAATGGTTTTACATGCTGAGGACATAGCAGTTGTATTAAACAAATGCTTCCGTCCTTTCAGACCTTACAGTTAGGGGTTGAGGAATATATGGGACATAAATTTAAATATATAAGGAAAAAATAAAGTATGTCTGTGTATCACCTAACATCATGTCAAGTACCAGTGGTCCATGTATCACACCTGGGAAATTTGTCTTATAGCAACACAAGGATATGAAGGTCCTTGTAGACTCTGCAGAGACAGAGCGTCATGATGGTGACTTCAGCAGGTTCAGAAGAGGCAGTGTTTGTCTGCATCTCTGCCATATTTCTCTCTTTTGATTGTGCCTCTAGGTTCGTAATGTTTACAGTACACATGAAGGTCTGTAGAATCGTGAGATTTTAATGCTTACAGAGCATATGGAATCAGTTTTTGTAGAGTAGTTGTAAGGTAGGAGAGAAGAAAGTCTAAATTTTTAAGGTCTTAAATTTGAATCTGGGGTAAAATTTGCTAAATTAAATCTTGACAGTTTTGGTCTTTATGAAAATTTTTCCTTTAAGACCCTTTTATTTAATTACTTTTTATTTATTTATTTATTTTTTACAGCTAAAGGTATAGAGAAAATAGATCCCTTGAAAATGTTTTAAATGTTTTACTGGAACATATGTTAAAAAAATTTATAGGATTAAGAGTTAATGAGCTTATTTTCTTTCATATCACTTATTTTTTTTTTTCTTCTTTTCCAGAATTTTATAGGAGTGAAGTGATTAAGAATTCCTTGGTAAGTTTGCTTTCTGACAGGTACACTTGACTAAGCCTATAACTCCTGTTTCAGAAAATGCTGAGATATAAGTTCAAGTTCAGTTCTGCTATTTATTATGATACTTCTACGGTTAAATCTTCTGCTTAGTTATTGCTTAAATTTTCATTGATTTGTTCATTGCTGTATCTCTCATCCTTAGAACATGCCTGGCACATAGTAGGTGCTTGATAAATATTTGCTGAATGAACTGATATTTTCTCTATTAAAAACTTCAGTGTTTTTTTAATTCATATTCTATAATTCTGTTAGTTTTTTTTGATTATCTGGTTTGTGAAGCATAATAAATGATGTCTTTGTTTAGATAAAATTCTTAAGAATTGTATGTCTAGGGCCATTGCATAGGATCTTCCCACTTATTTTTTGGTGGTGGAATTGCTAATGTAGAAATTTGGAAGTGTCCTAATTTTGATAATGTACACATGAGATATTTACACAAATGACTCAGTTTTTTGGGCCATGTTGACAAAAAAAGGACTTTATGGGAATTATAATATCTTCTTAGTGGTCAAGACTGCTGGATTTGGCCTCTGTCCACTTTTTCAACCTCATTTCTTAATAGTTTTCCTTACTCTAGGCATACCTTATTTTTTGGTGCTTCAAACATGCTGAGCTACTCTCCCTTTCTTATGTCTAGAACACTTGTTTCCCCAGCTCTTTGTTTGGCTAAAGACATCTTTGTGGTCTCAAGTTATAGGACTTTGGTTTGGTCTTCTATGACTGTTCCATTGAAAGTGGTTCCCTTTCTCCTAGTCACTCTTTTTTATGTCACCTGTTTTATTTTCTTTAGAGCATTCATCACTCTTGGAAACTCCTGTTTACTGATTTCTTTATGTTGATTACGTATCTCCCACCTACTAGAACACAAGTTCCATGAGGGCGGGGACCTTGCGTAGAGTCTAGAATAGTATCGGTGCTCAGTAAATACTTGTTAGATGAATAAATGGATATCAGTTATGTTTTATGTTTACAGAATCCATTTACATATGGGTTCCATTTTGATCCTTATAACAACCTGTAAGGAGATGAGGTAGGTCTTAAGGAACTGACATCCAGAGAGGCCCAACAACTTCTGTAGTCACATAACTGTAGGACTGGATCCTAAGTTCAGACCTCTCTCTTCAGGTCTCTGCTGCTCTTGCTTCTTTATCAAGCTGCCTTCTCAATGTCTCTAAAATAAAATAATAAATTTGGATCCAGGGCCAGACAGTTTTCCTTGAGCCTGTTTCTGAGGAGCTCCAATCACCAGTACAGCTCTTGTTCTGCATATAGTAAATGACATGAAATGACTAGCGCCATGCCTGACACATAGTAGCTCTTGAGTCAATATTAGTGTCTCTTTGTCCCCTGGCTCAGGTGAAAATGTAAGTGTCCTACACACCAGGGAGAGCTGGGGAAGAGTGGGTGGTTGCAGAGACAGGTAGAATAGAATTTCACCTTGATTTATTCTACCTTCCTTTTGGTAGTCAAAAGTCTATTGGAAATGGTTTTACACCATCCCATTGCTTTTTCTCTGGATTTGGGTCATAGTGGATCCTGTGCTAATAGTGCTACGTTAGTGTATTGTTCTACATTATTGTATTTACTTGGTATTCACTTGCCTTTCAAGTTCGTATTTCTAAAACCATCTCGTTGAATGTTAACTCTTCAGCCCTTCTGGCTCTCATCTTCTGTTGCTTCTGAAATGTCCATGAGGTTGTGATACCTTCATGCCTGGTGTGTACTTAGGTTGAATAAATGTTTTATAAAAATACTGTAGAATGGATTTCAGACAATGGAGATATTTGGACAGAAGACTTGTAAGGTCCTTTCCGGTTACAGTTTGTCCTGCAGTTGTTTCCTGGGGATCCCACTTTGAGCATTTGCGTCCATTGTGATTGTTGATGAACGGTTTCCTCTCCCAAAGTAGATGACAGCTTTTGGAGGTCAAGAGACTGCTTGAATATCTTTATGTCCTCTGGCTCCCCGTGTACTCCTTGGGAGTTGTTGGATAAATGTTGATTGGTTTATGTTTCCTTTTAAGGATATTCTTTGAGGTTATGATATTTCTGGCAAGGATTGTCTTTCCTATCTTTTGTAGCTTAATATAGGTCTGATAGACTGTAGTTCATATGTTCTTTTCTTTTGGAAAGGACTCTTCCTTTGTTTTTTTGTTAAATCACTGTGACTGATTCAGATTAATGGGCATTGAGCACCACAGGAGTCAACAACCCTCCAGAATATGCTGGAGATGGCACATTGTTATCTCCCTGCTTGCTGTTTCTGAAGAACCACAGATGAGCAAAGTTTGTAGGGCTTTTTCCCTGCTTAGGAGCTAGTGATTCGTAAGTGGTTGTGATATCTGCTGAATAGAGTTAGTGATTTAAATGCTTTTATTCCTCCTGGTTGCCCTTTGTTCTTGGCACATAGAAGGTGCTCAGCCAGTGTTTCTTAGTGAATGGATTCCTCCATAAATATGTTTATTGACTGACTTCTAAGTAATATCCTGAACCCCCAATCCTCAATTAGCTATTAAAGATTAGGCAAAGTAATGCTTCATTGATTTTTAGCTGAAGCTCTGGGTGAATTTTCACCCTGGTGAACTAAGCTGGACTCTAGTGAGCTTGTATTCTTTTTTAACTCCTTTAACTTCAAGGCTTCAACTGTTTTTCCTAGGTTTGTATTTTTAACTTGGTCCCCAGTCCAGGGTGGCTGCTTTTGCCATTGTGATGTCAAAGGAAACATGGAAAATGGACATGAGTTAAAAAGAATGTTTTTGCCCAAAGATTAAATTGACCTTATGTGCATATTCCTTGGGTCTTTCTAACTCTTGGCTACTGCAGATCGCCGCCGCGGTGCTGTCGGTGTTCTGTGCCCCGCCTGGTACATTTGCAACTAGCCGTGTGTGGCTACTGACTGCCTAAGATGTGGTTCAGTAATACTGGAGAACTAAATTTTTAATTTTATTTAATTCTAATTTAAATAGCCACAAGTGGCTAATGGATATGGTATTGGACAGCGTGGTTCTGGATGCTTCTGAAGAGCTTTCTTACAATCTGACATTAGCAGGAAGAGGTTTCCCTTTTTCTGTGCTTTGAGAAAACAAAACTTTGGGGGCACCTGGGTGGCTCAGTCGGTTCAGGGACTGACTGGCTCTTGATTTCAGCTCAGGCTGTGGGATCGAGTCGTGTGTGGGATTTTGGACTCAGTGTGGAGTCTGCCTGAGATTCTCCCTCTCTCTCTCTCTGCCTCTGCCCTGCCCCTACTCCCTCTCTCTTTCTAAGTAAATAAAAATCTTTAAAAAACAAAGAACGAAGAACCTTGTCCTTATACTACTGATAACATTCTGAAGCGGTGTGATAGCTGTTCCTTTGGTTGTCTTAGCTTCTTTAATATATAGGATAAACCTTACAAAGGGAGGGACCTGTATGCGTCATCTTCATAACCTCCAGAGTCATTGTGATGGCTTGTATTTGGCAAACAAGTAAGACAAGAAAAATAGCCTAAGCCAAGTTAGTTCTAAAAGTCACCATTATTTTATGTTCACTGAGAAAAACAAACACTTGTAATTAAATTGAAACACAGGACCTTCGTAATAGTCCTGAATGAGTTGTGATTCGATCTTCCTAGCCTCTTGTTACTTTGATATTTCTTTTACCCGTTCCAAGGTATTTATTTAGCAATCTTTCCTTCCTTTAGGTATATTGCTCGACCTGCGTTGGGAATCTTTTGAATCTCAGTAACAGAACATAAATACGCTTTCTCAATCTGTGGGAATTTCATTAAGTCTTAAAGAAAAGGGTGGATTAGGTTTTTTTCTTCATTTACAAATATTGCTTCTCTAATACCAAATTCATGTCTTCTTGTTTTATGTCTGTGCCCTTTTGCCTATACAAAACTTAATACTTTTTTTTGGGAAGTTTAACATACATAAAGAAGAGATTACAGTTCTTAAATATACAACTTGATGAATTTTCTGAAATTGAATATACTGGTATAACCAGCTTTCAGGTCAATAAGTAGAGTATTTTTAGCGACCCTGAAGGCCCCTCATGCCTTCTTCAGTTACTGCTACTGTCCTGACTTAACATCATAAATTAATTTTATCTACTTTTAAGCTTTACAGAAATGAGATCATACAGTATGTACTCCTTTGTATCAGACTTGCACTTTATATTGAAAGAGTCTCAACTGTATATTTTAAGAGTCATTCAGATTGTGGGTATATTTGTAGTTTGTTTATTCTGTAATACTGCATTGTGTGACTGTACCAGAATTTATCCATTCTTCTGTTGAGGGCATTTGGTTAGTTTCTAGTTTTTGAGCTGATATGAATAGTGCTGCTGTGACCATTCTCATGTGTATCTGTTGGTTGACCCTATGTGTACGTTTCTGTTAATGTGATACATATCTAGGAGTGGACCTGTAGGGAGTATTCATAGGATCCCCTTTAGTATTTATTGCCAAATAGCTTTTCCAAATTTTTGTTTCATTTACACTCTCGCCAGCAGTGTTTGAGAGTACTGGGTTACTCTATGTTGTTCCAATCACTTTCTGTTTTTTTAACCTTTTGAATTTAAAAATTTGATAGATATTATATACAGGGCTTTTTGTTTGTTTGTTTCAGTTTAAACCCAGAGAGATATTTTAAATGGCATTAAAGTCAGCACAGGCGAACAGGGTTCAGCATGACTAATTTAAGAGTTTAAGAACAGTTATTTCTAAGGTTTTGCATGTAGACAGTGACATCTAATGACTGCCACCTGGTGGTCAAAAATAGTAGAACCTTATTGATCTTAATATTTCTAAAATTAAAATTCATCCTCAATGTGAAGGAAAGTGCATGTTAGAATTAATGATAAATAGACTATGTTAGATGGTATTAAAAATAATGGCATAAAATAAAGCAGAATAAGAAAGTATCTGGCAGTGCTGGTTTCTGGTTTCCTTTGGTTGTCACATAGACAAAATGTCACATAGAT